ATGGTCAGTGTACAAATGATAGGTTTGGAGATACAGACCCGTTTCTAAAATCTCAAAATATATCTCCCCCGACCCACGCCTTTTCCGAGACTTCTTTGAGTATTTTGTTTTGTTATAATTGGCATTTAAAAACAAATCTTGTCGTCTTTCATTCACTGCACATGTTCCTGCCACCTCACTCCTCTTCTTCATTTTTCCACTCATATACTCTACTTTTTACTTTGCATTGTTGTCTTGTATTTTGATGGTTTTAGACTCGGGGTTTTTTTTTTTTTCCTTGTTTGGTTTTTAATATGTGCATTATTACAGAAGTCCCTAAGATATTATATGTGACTTAGAATTTCCACATATCTATTTTTACATTTACAATGATGTTATATAATCTTAATTTAGTGTTCATAATTATTTTTCTGTCAGTCTTTTTAATTATTCACCTTATTCTATGATAAAATTTTCATATTCTGAATTATGTTGGCATTATACAAAATGTATTTATCACCTAGTTAACTGAGTCAGTTCTTCATTTGCCTTCATCCATTTATGTCTCATTGTAGTTGCGAAATTTATACTCAAAGAATTTGAGTAATTTGTATGTGAAAGTGGACTAGTACCCAGTCATAAAATTTCAGGAACACAAAAATTCAGTGTCTTTGTTCAAGACTTTTTAAAATGCTGCCAGAGGGTTCAGTAATGTATCTTTGCAGGTAGCTTATTGCTAAGATATGGAAATCCTTTTACATAGAATTAACCATGTCACATTGCTGTATGGTGTATGCTATTCAGGCAATAATCATTAAGTACATTTTAATTGAATGATTACTTTGGGTCAATAAAATTGAAGGAAGTAAGTACCTCAGCTATTTTGGAGGAAGATCGCTGCATATTTTAGAATATCATCTGATAGGTTTCAGAGAAGAATTATTTCTTGTAGCACTGATTGTCTCAAAAAAGGAGAAAAATATACAGATGGACACTTTATTCATTGTGGTAGACAGGAAAACTAGCAGCTGTACTGGGTGGGCATGAAATAGGCCAAATTGTGTGGTTCTCAGGCAAGGTGCTTAACTGTTCAGCTGGTGACTTGCCTGTCTCTCTTAGGAGACCTGCTCCCAAACTCAATGACAGTTACACCTGAAAAAGAGCTCTGAAGCCATTTGGTTTTGTGACAAGGGGCCTGGTTAGGGAGGCTGGCCTTGATTGCCATCCTGGGAAGGAATATGCAAACACTGGCTGAGAAAGTTGGAAAGATGTTGGAAAGGAGCAGAGGCACATTGGACTGTTTAAATGAATTAAAGTCATTTAACACAGGTATTTTTAAAAGTACTCTACACTTTTTTTATTGATTTTCTGGGCACTAAATGACTTCATCATTTCCTGCAGGGGGAGCAGCTGAAATCTCACGAAAGCAAGCTGACACAGATTACCACCGAGCTGGCTGAGCACCGCTCGTATCCCCCCGACAAGAAAGTCAAAGCCAAGGACGTGGACGAGTACAAACTGAAAGAGCACTATCTGGAGTTTGAGGTACATAACTGAGTTCCTTTATGATTTGTCCATGAGGTAAAAATGTTTACTGTAACTGTGGGAAGCGTGCCTTGGCCCTGGTTCTAGGCTTAGAACTTCTAGCACAGTCTGGGTCATGGTGGCCCTGCGTGTTTATGATTCTATTTAAATGCCAAACAAAGCTCAAAGGGTAACTGTCAGTTTATGCACTTAAAAGCAAATTGCCTGCCTGGTTGGAATAGTGTGTGCCTGGAGTGAGAAAAAAAAAAAGAGCAGTAGGGGACATGACAGTGTGGTTAGCTGCTTTCTATGTCCCTGTGTCTCTTCCGGCAGAATTTGAGTCAAAAAAAAAAAAAGTACAGTGGAAAAGATGAGTGATGTGAAGCATCAGCTTTATCCTGCACATTCTTGCTCGTAGGTGACACCAATACATTTCTCTTCTTAGCACTCACTGCCCGGTTGATAAATTGTGGCACATCCATACTCTATAGTGAGTGTGCTTATTACAAAGAATGGGGAGGATCCGTAGGCTCAGGTGTGGAAAGGTGGAAGATTTAAAAACAAGTTGAAAGGAATACACTTCCAAATGTTTCCTTTGGCTGTTTTCTCCCAAATTAGGATGCTCCTCTGTCTCTCCATCTTAGCCACCACTTCCGACATTTAAAGTGTCTTTTTTTTTTTTTTTCCTTTGAAGTAGGTAGTATTGTTAAAGGAAATTCCAGGTTCCACTGGCTAAATCTGGGTTCTTGGTGTCTCGAACAAAGAATTGGATCCCAAATTCCTCCTAGAAATGCCTGCTGTAGACCTACTAGCTGGGATTAGTATGTTATAGTACTTGCCACAATTTGCTTTATGTTGAAGTTATTCTTGTCTGTCTTTGTATCGATAGTGGATTCTATAACACCTCCCTCACCCAAGATTGAACTCTTGGAAGGCAGGGACCTCAGGTTCATTTCCAGCCTTTGCTCCATGCTTGCTTGTTGAATTGGACAGGATTTCATGGAAGCCTTAAAATGTCTGTTAAGGTGGCTTTTGGTTCAAAAGATGGTGTTTTCACTGCAGATCCATGTACTAGTTTTCTTTATAGTTAAACAAGTCCTTGCTGTGGTCAGATGATCAACCATACCAAAAGAAATCTTGTTTCGTTTTGTTTTGTTCTGCTTTGCTTTGTTTTGTTTTGTTGGTAAAGGTAAAAGTTTGTTAGCAAAAACTATGGAAGCCTTACCACCAAAAGACTTGAAAAAATATTAAAAGGAAAAAAACAACACAAAACTAAACAGTTCATCTTTCCCCAGGCTTGTTCATTCTTGGGAAATGGGAATTCTCAAAAAGCAATCATTATTCTTCACACTTCTGGAGTAGCTTTAAGCCATGGGCCTGTTTTGTTTCACACATGCTAATTAATTTCCCAACACCTCCGTCTCCTGCTTCCAGCACTCAGAACCTAGCTTTGAGCCCTTGACTCTGAAGTGGAAGAGCCTGTACCCAGGAGGTGGAGTTGGCTGCAAGACCATGAAAAGGTCACCCCTGATAGAAGCATACTCCCTACTTTTGAATCTACTGTGACGCCCCTCTTCTGAAAGTGTAACCCAGCAAGAGCCAGTATTTTCATTTCCTGACATGAGGTTAGACCACATTTGGGGGATTAAGTCTTGCTTCCATCAAATCGTCACCTCAAGGAGCATGAAAATTGCATTCCAGGACACTTGACTCATTAAAATCAGACCCGTGATAATATGTCAAGCAGCTTGAGTTGTCTGTCAAGCTGCATTAACCAGGAAGGTAGAAGTGTACCTCATTTTGCACAGATGTCATCTGAAAAGGTTTCTGTAAAGGTAATGCTTTTTTTTACAGTGAATTATTATTTTTCACTAACCTAAACTAAAATTGAAGTAGTGTGTCATATAGAGTTCACTTTGCTATTGTTTCAGCCACAGAATTGGTCTCATGTGAGTGCTAGGGGAGAGCCTTCGCACAGCATCCTTTGCTTTATAAGCAGCAGTCCCTGAGCAGGACACTTCATTCCCTGAGCGGATGGATGAACGTTTTGTA